TTCAAAACTTGGATTCTACTAGGGTCAGCCTACCTGAGTTTGAGTACCAGCTCTGCTGTTTGCTTCTTTGCTTGCTGTGTGACCTTGGGCAAGATATTTAACTTCAGATTGCACTACAAATTCATTGCTTATGATATGGGGGCAATTAATAGTACTTCTCTAATAGGATTGTTTTAAGGACTGAGGACATGATATATGCAAATAGCATAAAAGAATATCTAACTAATGGTGGAAGCCAACTCTAAGAAGCTTGTGTTGTCTTTTCACTCATGCTATCAAATCTAAATTTCCATGGGAAAATGTCTGCAGTCAGACCTTCATTTTTTTTTGTAAGGATAGAGAGCAGAAAGAGGGGAGTAGTGGTAAAACACAAGGGGGTAAAACACATACTAGGAAATGTTGGCAATCATAATTATGTGGCTGGGTATAGATATTTATAATACAATGGGGTTCTGAATGAGGCCACAAGCTACCCAAGATCCCTCATTAGCAGTTTGGTGGAGACAGGAATGTCACCCAACACATAACACCTAACACCCTGCCTGCCCTCAGCCAACTCATGTGCCCGGACACCCTTGGATGCTCTGTAATATTTCTTGTCCATATGGATTAGAACTGAATGATCTACGCTTATTTTTACCTTTCCTCAAGGGTTCTTTTCTCCTCCTTCTTTTCTCCTAATGAAAAATAGAAAGTCTCCTGTTGATTTGGACTCCTTCTAAAGAACAGACTTCACTATAGACCCTTGGCCTCCTTGGAGAGTCTTTTCTGTAAACAATCACCTGTCCAGCAGGGTTCTGGCAGCTGGAGACCCCTCAGCAGGAGCAGGGACTAGGTATAAACTTGGGAACTATTTTGGGAGATAAGAAAATGACAGAATTTGAGGTCATTCATTTAGTCTTAACTACTGATAGGGTAAGTACATCAGAAACATCTGAATTAAGCATTTTTCTGCATTTTAATTAGTAGAACAAGTCTCTTCTTGATAAGAAAATAAGTTCAACAATAAATCAAATGTATGAAGGAAAGTGCAGGCATTTTTTTCTTATCTAAAGAGGCTCTGTGTTCCTAAGAGCTGAGAACAAAACTGCACATCCAAAGGCCTGATTTTCAGTCTTAGTCATTTATCATACTAAGTCCTTAGAACAAGTAAAGAAATCTAGTTATTTAGTCAGGCAGGAGGCAGTTCTTACCCATTTCCTTGGCTCATGGTCTTGGTCCTCCTTGTATCCTATACTGTCACTATGTGAGATGGGCATGTCGTTGGAGATGCCAAGCCCAGTGAGCCTGAAGGATCTGCCAGTGGCTGCTCAAATCAGCAGAAGCCTCGTCTCTCACAATGCTTTCCTGTGAACAATCCCCCTTCAGCCCTCTGTCAGAGACTGTTGGCTAGAATATATACTTCATGATCAACTATAGAGAAGTTCTCAGCAAAAGAAACCATCAATGAAGTGAAGAGAGAGCCTACATTTTGGGAGCAAATTTTTGCCACACACATGTCAGAGCACAAATCTCCAGGATATATAAAAAACTCAAAAAACTTAACACCAAAAAACTCAAACAACCCAATCAGTAAATGAGCTAAGGAACAGACACTTCTCAGAAGAAGATATACAAGCAATCAACAAATATATGAAAAAAAAATGTTCAACATCTCTAGCAATTAGAGAAATGCAAATCAAAACTACTCTAAGATTTCAACTCACTCTAGTCAGAATGGCAGTAATCAAGAATACAAACAAAAATAAGTGTTGGTGAGGATGTGGGGAAAAAGGCACACTCATATATTGCTGGTGGGACTGCAAATTGGTTCAACCAATCTGGAAAGAAGTATGGAGATTCCTTAGAAAATTTGGAATGGAACCACCATTTGACCCAGCTATCTCACTCCTTGGACTATACCCAAAGGACTTAAAATCAGCATACTGTAGTGACGCAGCCACTTTGATGTTTATAACTGCACAATTCCCAGTAGCTAAACAATGGAAGCATCCAAGATGCCCTTCAGTAGATGAATGGATAAAGAAAAACTGTGGTATATATACACAATGCAATATTACTCAGCACTAAAAGAGAATAAAATTATGGCATTTGCAGGTAAATGGATGGAGTTGGAGAATATCGTGCTAAGTAAAGTAAGCCAATCCCCAAAAACCTGGGGCTGAATATTTTCTTTGATAAGTGGATGCTGATCCTAATGAGGAGTTGGAGCATGGGAGGAATGGAGGAACTTTGGACCAAGGGGAGGGAGGGAAGAGGGGGGTGTGGGGGTAGGAAAGATGGTGGAATGAGACGAACATCATTACCCGAGGTACGCGTATGTCTGCACATGTGGTGCAACTCCACATTGTGTACAACCAGAGAAATGAAAAGTTGTATTCCATTTGCATACAATGAATTAAAATGCATTCTGCTATCATGTATAACTAATTAGAACAAATTAAAAAATTAAAAAGAAAGAGCAAGAAGGAAGAACTGATTAACTATTGCTGACCGCTTAATCTCATCTGCTAGAAATTTTGTGGACACTGGAAACCACAAAGTGCTTTCACTCCACAGAAATCTAGAAATCATGGCAATTTCCAAAAATTTCAGAATTTCTGCTAAGGATTTAGGGAAAGTCCAAGTCAATAAACAGTACTATCTTTTGAAGATTCATTCGATGGCGATTGTAGATCCATGCCTCCTCATGAGTTTCAAAGAAGATGGCAACCGGGAACACGTTACCTCTGTGCCAGTCATGATAGTAGCAGTGCAGTCACAGTCCAGAGTATTACAGAGCCATTGAAAATAACACACTTCCACTGCATGTGTACTGATGTGGAAGATTACCTGTGATAGTCTTTTGATGAATAAGGCTGGCATGGTGGTGTACACCTGTAATCCCAGATACTCCAGAGGCTGAGGCAGAGGGATGGCAAGTTCAAAGCCACCTGAACAACTTAGTGAGATCCTATGTTAAAATAAAATAAAATAGAGCTGGGGATGTACCTCAGTGGAGAACACTTGCCTAGCAACAGGAGGCTCTGGGTTTAACCTCCAGTACCACAAAAAAAGAAAAAGAATGGTGTAGAACATTATTCAGAGTGTGATCTCATTTTTGTGAAAGCAAAGATAATCCACAAATGAATATATTAGATATAGGTATCTGCTCAATTGAAAACTAGCATATATTTCAGTTATTAACAGTGAACCTCAGGAATTAAGTGTAAATAAGGCAAATGGGAAGGGTGGCAAGGGAGTGGGAGTTTTTACCTTTTCATCACTCACAGCTGTATTTCTAATTTTGATCAAACCATAGAGAAGGCCAATGATATGGGGCCGCTGATGATAAACATGTGTTTTAGTAATACTTGACATACAAAAATTTTTTAATCATTGTGTCAGAAATGAATTAGCTGTGTTCTATAAAGAAACATATCAAACATCAAATAGTGCCCCTCCACTGAAGCATCTCCTTAAGAATGACAATGTGAATCATCTTACAGTTGCAAATGTCAGCTGTCCCATGTTGCAGACTACAGAAAGAGATAAAAAGGACATCCAAGGGTACTCTGTGATAAAAATCATTACATCTTGAGAGGACTGATAGGAACAGTGGAAGGAAGGTGTGTTCAGTTTTTAAAGAGGCTGGAAGTCTGCAAATATTTTCGTAGCAATGCTAGAAAAATACGCTGCAGTGGCGTTAGGATACGTAGCATCTTAGATATCGATGGCCCTCCTAAAACCCTCCTTACCAAGAATTCTAACTCAATATAAAAGGGAATGATTTTCATGTGTGAAATGCATTAGCTGATTAACATATTTGTATTGAGAATCTAAAACCTGGGGGAGGGAAAAACAAAGATGAATCGGAGCCAAGAATTGCCTCATGATACTTTTAAAGGAGGTGGGGTGCGGGTGGGAGGCCAGGTGCATATACAGACTCTGGAACTCAACTGGGACACACGATGCTACTAACTAAAGTGGGACTTCCAAATAGAGTGGTGGGAGGGTCTCTCCAAAGGGGCGCATTTTGCTTTCTGTTTTGTCTTAGAATAGGAAAAATATGAAACTCATTGTAAGCAAAGAGGAAAGAGTCCACACAGAGAGATGATTAACAGGTGAGGAAGAGAAAACAGGTAATTAGTCAAGGAAGCTCTAGAAGAAGCAGGAAGAGCCCAGGCAAGAGGTTAGGCTTAAGAAGGAGGAAGGATATTCTCCAAATTAAATAAAAGAAGGAACAGGGCCTGGGTGTGGGGCAGAACAACCTGAGGTGAAGGAGAAGGAAGCTGAGGTATCTGCTTGAACCAGCCTAACTTTCTCCTCTGGTGAGAAGCTGCTTTATTGATGGAGAGTGAAAACGTAGTGGTAGATGGGCTGGGGAGGTGGCTCAAGCGGTAGCACGCTCGCCTGGCATGTGTGCGGCCCGGGTTCGATCCTCAGCACCACATACAAACAAAGATGTTGTGTCCGCCGAAAACTAAAAAAATAAATAAATATTAAAATTTTCTCTCTCTCTCTCTCTTTAAAAAAAAAGTAGTGGTAGATTTACAAGTTATGGAAAGATCTAGAATAGCCACTGTGAAGACCAAAAATTAACCAGGAATGATGAAAAGGACTGTGAAGCATCACTGAGATGTCAAGGTGGGGAGGGGGCTGCATAGCATGAATTTTTAATGAAACCAATTTTTTTTTTTAAATAATTTTTCAACATTTTCTCTAGCACTATGACAGCTGGACACAGGAGCAGAGAAATTCAGTTTGACTAGAATGGAGGGATTGTAGAAATCAAATCATTCCTGAAAACTGCCTGTGAACGTTCATTGGAAATGAGCCAAGTGATTGCATCGTTATAGATTTCACTTTATCACTATGTTTTTCCCCTTTAATTTTTGTAGTCCATTTTCTGTGAAAATGTGGGAGTAATATCCTGGGCTTCAAATATGAACCAAGTATGGCCATGAAAATTTCTAAAGCTTCTAGCTCAAACTTGCTTCTCATGCATTATGTATTTTTAGGCTGGAAAAACTAATAACATCCTTTTTGGAAGACCAGGATCCACAGAGTAGACTAGAGGTTGGCGCTGATATGCGTAAAATTCATCACTGTTTTCATCATTTAAAGGTAAGTTTAAATGTTTCCTTCAGTAGAAACCATTTCCTGCCATGCTCCAACTGCAATAAAAAAAAACTTTTCTGGTTGACCAAGCCTTGAAAAGTTAGGACCCAGCTTCACAGAAAATGGTGTGAGCTTTGAACCAATGCTGTGGTCACCACCCACTTTCTCCTGAGATCAGATCTTACTTGCCAATAAATAAGCTCAAACCATGGACTTCAAATTCTTTTGCCAGGAATCTCTACCTCTACACAGAATAGTTCTGTGTTCCAAAAACCAATTTTAAAATAATATCAAGTGAATTGTGTATTGTATTTTTTATTTAGCCTTATAATTCACTTTCCTCTGCCTTGGGTTTTACCTTTCCTGATGAGGAGATGGGGTTTTCATTACATGTTCCTTCTACCTTAGTTGTATTTTTTCATACCTCGGTAAGATAGTGAACATGTCTGTGAGTCTGCTATGGGCCAGGATTGGGAAGGCAATGTTGAACGAGTCATGGAGAAGACAGATAAGGGCTATAATAAAGGTATGAACTGAGCGCTATTGTGTTACGTAGAAAGGGAAGAGAGTCCAAGAGGAGATAATGTTTGAGGAAGAATTTCCCAATTTAGGAAAGGAGAGATAAAGATGGGGGAGAAGGGAATGTGGAAGGCAGGTGGGGTTGGGGGACAAGCAAGTGAGAAAAGCGACTGTGAATTCAAGGAGTCAGGAGAAGGCAGGCTTATGTTCAGGGAATTGTTACAGGGAAAAGAGTCAAACAAGAAAATTTGGAATGGCGATATAGGGGCAAAACTGTTCTTTCAACTTACAGAAACTATTGAATGACAAGAAGATCTTCAGGAACAGTACAGTCTCCTCTGAAATCAAAGAGCCAGACTGCCAAGAACCAGTAAAAGAGGAAGAATATAAAAAGCTACGAGACCTTCTAAAGCAGAGGGATAATGAAATCAGTATCCTTCCTGAAGCCATGAAACTCTCTGCTCCTGGCTTGAAAGGGGGGTGAGAACAGGTGACTCCCCACTGCCACATCACTCAGGGGCCCACCCTTCCTCCCAATCAATCACCTCGTCCCTTTCCATTGAGAAGTAAAATGTCCCTTTAGCAAACACAGTGCAGTCACTAGTGAAAAAGAGTAGCTACAAAAGAAAACGTTTGACCTTACTTTTAGCCTGATATAGTTTCTCTACAGAGAACATTTCAGTTTATAGAAAAGTATGAGCTTTTTTATGGCATCTCTTAACATTAGATTTGTGAAAATATAATTTTTGACTACTCTGTGGTGCTCTTTCTGGTTCAGTCCTAAGCCAATAAGTTAGCTGGTTATCTTTAGCTAGCTGACCGGACACCGGGCTGACCACAGCCTTACCATGGCCCAGAGTTTGTGGCTGGTATGTGGGTGAAACTCAAATCATGGCTGAAAAAATGGTAAATGGTATTTAGCTTATGAAGAGCAGAGATTGATTTAAATGTAACCTTTTATTTAAAAGGAGATCTACTACTTTGGGTTCTACTTACAAATGTTTCCAAATTTGGAAGTGAGAATAGATGAGTGTTCAAGACAGAATTCTTATTGGCTCCAGGAGGCAGCATATATGGGGTCCTGAGAGTGGTGGCATTCCCTGGGACATGAGCTGCTCCTAGTTGCAGACTAGGTGGTTACTTCTAAAGAGCCCCTGGTGGGGGGTTAGACCTCAGGACTCCCTGAGATTTCTTCAGTATTCCTTCTTGTTAAAAGACTTGACATTTTCATGACATTTGCAGCATTTAAACACACACAGGAAATAATTTTGGTCAATTCATTATAAGCAGATATTTTTTGCTCATTTTTAAAATTTTCTAAAGATACTTTAGCTTCAACTATTGTCCAAAATGCATAAAAATAATCTATGTAAAGAAAATCCAGAAATAAAGAGGTAAAAACAAACCAAATACAAAGTAAGTCTGCTGCCTGATTAACTTCAGTCTTTAATTTTAGTTGAGCATTAGCAGACCCCTTACGTCAGATTCAAGTAAATTTTAGCTGCTTTATTATTCAGCAAGTAACAGTAGGTTCAACTGTGAATTACACCCCCACACGAGCCCTTGTCTGTGAGTGCTGCCACAAATGCTGTCACCCTTGCATTCCTTTCCCTCTCTCTTACCCCATCCATCTCCAGGGATGGTCTCAGCCTGGACCTCAGTCCTGGCCTCAGCCCCAGTCTGAGCTCTGCTTCTTTTCCTGGCCCTGATCCTAGTCCAGGATCTTCTCTCCTAAATACTCCTACCAACTTCTTAATCCGCTTCATGACTTATGAAGGTCTGTGCCTATAGGAGGGATGAAATGAGATATGACAGAGAGGGAACGGGCCAGGCTTGTTCATATACATTTATTTGTAAAAGAGAATGAGAGAGAAAGAGAGACATACATCATCTCCCTTCTTCACTGTGGTGAATCTGGGTACCACTATTCACATGGGGCTACACTAGATTCTTTACTGAATAATTCAGAGTTTCCGCCATCTGAGTCTCATATTCAAAATGATGGTGTGTATGCTGTCAGAGTGGACAGAATACTGATCTTGAATCCATACTTGGATTGAAATCCTAGCTCTTCTTTTATTAGCTGTATGACTACTTGATGAAGCTGTTTCCTATCCTTCAGGAGCAGGAGCGTAAGACCTGCCCTGTCAATCTCACTGTGCTGAGAAAAACCAGAATGTGCCCAGGCATTCTAGAGCATCCCATAATGGAAGCTGTGCTGAGGTAAACAGTAAGTAAAATCAGAAGAAGGAAAAACAACAGCTAAGGTTTAATCATCTCAAAACTTACGTTCATCAAAGGCTGAAAATCAATAAAGGCTCTTGATGCATCACAGTTACTCAGTCGGGTTTGGAGGATGTTTTCTTATCTGTCTTTGTAGACCCAGAAGGCTCAGATTGTGACAGGTGTGAGAAAGACACTATTTCCCATGGGAGTAGGTGGGGGTAGATTATACTGGAGATCAACAAAAGATAGTAGTGCTGTCAAAGTGACCACCAACAACATGAATGTCCATAGTGGGAGTTATAAGGTTCCATTTCAGTGACATCATCCGTTTGAACAAACCCCAGACACACCTTCACAAAGTATAAAACAAGGTGGTACTGAATCACAGCTCAGCCAAAGAGGGGAATCTTCCCAGATAAAAGACCTATATACTCAGAGATATATGCACAGCTTCACTGCCTAGTACAAGTAAAGTAAAGTATTCACTTTACTTTTTATTAACTCTTTCATAAAAAATCTAAGACATCTGGTTTAAACTAAGAACATTTTGAAAAACTTTGAGTTTGCTAATTTTTCATCTCGTGGTGTCATGGTAGAAGACTAATAGCCTCCTTATTGTCCACAACTGTGTAGTAGGAATTTGGAAAGTTAAAATCTTCCTTTAGTCAGTTTTTACCATATGTTCAAGAGCAAGTGGTTTGGGGACTATTAACTGCATTTGGATCATTTGTATTTTGATCATTATAATCTAGGATGAGTCATTTATTCCTTAAGTCAAATTTCAGATATTTTAGTCAACATGTTAAAAAAGGAAAAGAAGAAAACTCAGGATGCTCTCCACTTCTCTAGTGTGGATAGAGGTGAAATCAGACTCATCCAGAGCTCACCCTTCCCACTTGGAAACCCAGAAGGTCAGAGGACATCACTATTCTCAGCCTCGACACAGTCCCAGGATTGCAGCATGCTCGGGAGCAGATCCAGTTTGCTCCACAAAAAATCAGGTCAGTTGATTAAATGTCTAGTGTTTTTCATGGCCTATACTGGGTTTCAGTGTAGTTGTAAATGTGCAAGGACAAAGACACTAACAATGTATTTTTCTAACAAATCTTTTTTTACTGATTTTTTAAAAAAAATAAATGACAGCGGAATGCATTACAATTCTTATTAAACACATACAGCAAAATTTTTCATATTTCTGGTTGTATGTAAAGCATGTTGACACCAATTCGTGTCTTCACACATGTACTTTGGATAATGATGTCTATCACATTCCACCATCCTTGCTAATCCCCTGCCCCCACCCTTAATCTCTTAAATACTAGTTTCCCAAATTAATTTCCCCAAATCTCTTAAATACTAGTTTCCCAAATTAATTTCCCCAAATCTCTTAAATACTAGTTTCCCAAATTAATGACTGAACTGAGAAAAACAAAGTATGAATTTTCATAGCATTCAAAGGTAGAACTGCAAAGGTCTAGGGTAGAAAAGTGAACTTTAGAGACAGGAAAGAAAAACCTTCCTCTGCCCTTAAGAAGGAACAAGGAAGATCAAATGTCACATTAATAACAAGATGATGTCATGTTTATTACTAAATCCAAATGAGCTATTTACATCAAAACAATTTTAAAGTAAAAAAAAAATTAAAGTATTTAAAGTTTTATCACAACCTTAAAGAGCAATTAGCAAAATGATTGGACCAACTCAGAAGCATCTTCCCCTTTTTTAGCTTTTGGTACTGCTAGTACAGAACCTTCCAGGGGGCTGGGGATATGGCTCAAGCGGTAGCGCACTCGTCTGGCATGCGTGCGGCCCGGGTTCGATCCTCAGCACCACGTACAAACAAAGATGTTGTGTCCGCTGAAAACTAAATAAATATTAAAAAATTCTCTTAACAAAACAAAACAGAACCTTCCAGAATCCCAGGTCTGTTTGTGTATGTTTCCCCTTGTTAGACCAGCATGGCATGATGTAGTCATGTGACTGGTGCCTTGTCCAGGATATGGAGGAATCAGAAGTGTGGTGTGTACTGGGAAAAAAATGGTGAAATTTTACCTTTTTGGCAACATGTTAACATTTTCTGTGCAAACATTTGTTGGAATGTACTACCTGATATGTGTGGCTTCCTCGAGGATCTAGCCTGGGAACCACCAGAGTGTGGTGTTCATTAAGAAGCATGTGCTTTAATTAATAAAGACAACTTGGAGAAGTGTGGAGATATATTATGTGATATCACATTCCTGTAGCTCTTAATTCCAAATCTCCCTGCATTGAATAGTTCTTCAACAACACAGTACAATGAATTCCAATCCAGGAAAACAAAGATACCATTTATCATGATGGCAGCAGAAATGAAAATCACTGATTCCTTTCTGTGACTGTTTTCTATTCAGCTTTGCTCTATTTATTATAGATAGCAGCTGGGTGGGGAAAAGGGGGAGCCGTCTGCATTGGTGAACTCTTACCCATCCATTTACTCATTCCTCTTTAATTCAACATATTATCGAGCACATACTTTGTCCTAGGCACAATGTTAATTATTATTACAGCCAAAGCTTACATTGGCCTTATATACCAAGTACTATGTTAAATCCTCTGCTTGAATTATTTACCCACATATTACAGATGAGAACATACATAGACAAACACAAGCTCTGACCTCAGAGAGACACAGGAAGAGAGTCACTCAACAATTGATTACAGAATTGTATTTCTGTATTAGCAGGGAGCACATGCCAGGGACCTTACCTGCAGTGAAGACTAGAAAGATCCAAAAGGGGAGTGAGGGTAAATGTGTGAGTGGAAGGAATCTTGGAAGGAAAAGGAATCAGTTGCGTGAACAGCTTTGAAGTCCTTTGTAATGAAAAGGAACATTTTAGGAATCCAAAAAGCCAGATATGGTTGGCATCTGAGGGATGAGTGAGAGCCTGGGGAGGCAAATTGATTGACATGTGCTGAGCAGATCAACACAAAGACCACATGACCATAAGGGACCATTGTAGTAGCTTAGGCTAAAGGATAGGGATGATGAGAGAGGTGAGGTAGCAGAAGCATTTAGGAAGTCGAGTGGACAGAGCTTTGTTGCTCACAGGATGTGGAGGGTGAGGGTGAGGATTGGCCCCCAGGTCACACAGTAGCTGGTGAGACTTGTCACAGCAGTAAGGAATAGTGAGTGCCTCCCGTGGTTCTCTGACAGTCAGCATTGTTGGCCATTGAGAACATGGCACGGGCACCTCTGCTGTGGGAACCCAGAAAAAATAGGACCCCAAAATGTGATGCTCTGCCATGCTGCATACTTTGAACTGAAGGCCATCAGAAGGGCCTCAGAAGCAAACTCTCTATCCAACCTTCTCCTAATCTTCTTTCTCCTACTCTTTTTTCTCCCCTAATACAGGCCACAAAAACTAGAACCCCTCTCCCCTAAAGCCAGCCACAAAATCTAGAAATACTATCTCCCCACCCTGCACCTTTTTTGGCCATAAAGAAATTCTCTGACCTACCCTGTCTGATAGTGTATCACAAGACCCTCATTCCAAAAGGTCCTTCCCTGTCCTGGGAGGAAGAAATGACACACAGAAGAGTCCAAGGAGAAGCCAAACAGATAGGCTTTGCTGAATTGCCCCCATTCATTTTATTACATTAGATCATAACATTTTCCCAATCACTTTTCTAAATGGTGTCGTTAAACCTAAGCATAAAAATAGAGTTTTCCCCCAGGTCTTTGGTTCCATCTGAAGGCTGCCATATTATATAACATTTGATTAAATTAGTCTGCTTTGCTTTTCTCTTGTTGATTAGTCTTTTGTCACAGGGGTGTTCCTTATGATGAGTAAGGAAAGGTATCGGACCTTCTTGCCCCTGCTTTGCTGAAATTAAAGGTCATGGTCAGTACCCCATGGCTCATGATGGAAGGAACTCTGTTTCCTGGCCTTTTCGAAACACTTACTCCATTGTGCCTGTGCAGAAATGGCCTCAGACATCTCTGCCCAACCCTTGTTGTGAGCCAGACCTTTTCAATTTCGATTTCTTCTCATCCACACCATCCCTTTCTCGTAATTCTTCTCCCCACAGCATCTCATAATCCTTCCCCTTCCTTATAATTGCAGTCAATTTTTTCAGGAACTCTTTTCTTCCCTGGATACTGCTATTGAGACAGACTATAGTTTTATTTGGAGAATAAATAAAATTTACTTAAATAGAAAATTGCTGAAAAAATAATGGAAATTGTTTGTAAAGTCCAAGTACAAATGAGGTAAAAGTTTTGGAGCAGAGCCTTATATTTGAAAGGTTGTTGAGCTGTTTTAACCGTCATTGGATACAGTTCTAGCAACAACTTTAAATAGGAGTAGGCTCACAAATGGACTGATAATGATCTAACCATTTGGGGAAGGGATTGATGGGAGATTGACTACTTTTTTGGCAAAACTACAAATGGAATGAAAACTGTTGCTGATGAATTGATGCTGCAGAGCAACAGGTTGTGGGATCGCTTCTTATCCTATTAAGATTCTAGGAGCTGATTTTATTTTACTTGTGTATTTATTTTATTATTGCAATGTTTTATATATGAGAAGCTCACATGAACTAAAGCAAATACAATAAAATTAATAAGCCTAGTGTTTTGAAAGTTTTTGTCTTAGGTAGGTGTTGTCGGTTTCTATGATTGGTCCCTGGGGCTGTTTCTTATGCAGAGAGCATGTAAATCTCACCATCTCTCAAATTGTTGTGAAACTATCTCCCCCTCCACCGCCCTCCCCTTCTTCCATTCACCTCCACTTGATGCTGAAAATAAGTCCTTTCTAATCAGAAAATGAAACTGAATTTAGAGTTCACTAGAGAGCCTTGTAGGTCGAGTCATTGTCCAGCAGCCTGCCAAGGCGGAGCAAGGTCAGGGGCTTTGGGGCCTTTGGTTATTGTTTTGAAGGTTCGATGTCTGTGTTGGTTTCATTGAAATAAAGAGGAGGATTGTTCAGCTCCACAGTTTGAGAAGAATCATATTGTTCTGTTTAAAATAAGACAAGTTTTAAGGTTAGGTTGGTTTGGGTTTTTTTGTGTGTTTTATTTTCTGTTTTAGATCTCTGACTGTGTTCCAAATAGTCACCAGGAACCAGTCGGGATTCCAAAGGCCCCACCACTCAGCACATCCTTTAGCTGCTTGAGAAGCTAACAGAACCCACTCATCACAGGTGATGTTGCTGTCATTTTAAAGATGGGGGTGGAACTCAGTGGGAGAGCACTTGCCTAGCATGCATGAGACTCTGGATTCCAGCCCTAGATCACGAAAAGAAAAATCAAGAAAATTAATTGCAAAAACATACCCTTGAGGCTCCAGACCCTATTCTTTTGTTTTGTGAGAATTCTTTGAATTCCCACTCTGTGCATGGAAGATCCAGGGTATGCTGTGGGCTGTACCAAGGTGAACTGAGAGTGTCTCTGACTCAGGGAACTCACAGTTAAATAGTGGAGGCTGGCTTTGAACCCAAATAGCAGAGAATAAAATAAGTTGCTTTAAGCAGAAGCTAGAAGAAATATTTTGGGAGTTCAAAGGAAAATGGAAGAAATTTATTTTCTTTTAATTCTTTTGTATTTTATTGATGTGTTATGATTGTACACAATAGTGGGATCCGTTGTTCTGTATTCTGATGTGCACACGATACAACTATATCATTTGGCCAATATCATTCCCCAGATTTCTCCTGTACCTTCCCTCCTCCCTCACTAGGTCCTTTTCCTCTTCTCTACTGATCTCCCTTTGATTTCCTTGAGTTCCCCCCACCTTTCTCTTCTTTTTCTTCTTTAGCTTCCACATGTGACAGAAAACATAAAACCCTTGCTTTTCTGAGTTTGGTTTATTCAATTAACATAAAATTGCCAAGTTCCATCCATTTTCCTACAGATTTCTTCATTATGCTGAATAAAACTCCACATTTTCTTTATTCATTTACACATTGATGGACACCTAGACTAGTTCCATAGTTTTACTATTGTGAATTGTGCTACTCCA